CCAAGCGCTGCCTGCCCAGAGCGCGCGCCGGCGCGGGAGTGGGTGCCGGGGAGTTTCCCGCACTGAAAACGGTTTTTGGAAAACTTCGCCCCACAGTGGGTTGATGGTTACTTAAACCATCCGTTGTTATGGTTACAGGGCATCAAATGTAAGGGCAAAGTCTGTTTCCACCCTCGCTTTCTCTAGAGCCATGGAATACTTGGTCTCTACGTTTTATAGACGTTTCACAGTAATTGAGGTACTTGTTTAGAGGGCCGTGAAAGGACAGCGTGGGCTCCCGAGGGGCAGCGGTTGAACCCTATTCATGGTTGTGGTCCCAACGACTGAATACCACCACTGCCTGCATAGGAATCGGAGGGGAAGAGCCTCTTATGTGTGTTTTGGTGATTATCATCTAAGGATTTAGGATAGACGTTTCAGGAGCCAGGTGTAATCTGGAAGGGACATGGTGGGTACTTCAATGAAAGACACTGAGGAGAAATGGAGGGGCATGTGATCCTTGAATCTGGGGTAATGAGGGTTTGAAGAGTCTTGGCTTGTGAATTCTGGAGCTCGTTGACACAGGGGAGGAAGCTTAACTCTTGGTACAGTGAAACTGGCAGTTCTGTTAGCGCTTACCCAACCCAGGAGGCCTTTACAGTTCTCTCAGATCCTTCCAGAAATTGACGGTGCCGCCTGAGGAGAAGAGGATGGAATCGGGCTTTTGCTGGTGGTGTCTTTCTTATTACGTGAGCCCCTCTGGCAGTGTCAGTGAAGATCTGGAGAGGGGGATGTGGAGGGCTCTGGTGAACGGCACTTGCTCGCACATGTATCTCCCAGAGGAAGCACAGTGTCTGGCAAGAAGGATCGTAACGGACTAACTCCAGTCAGACCGAGGTGATATGGAGACCTCTCACAGATAATCCAAGGGCTAGTACAGAAGAGAAGGAAGGAAAATTTGAGTTTGGTTTGAGTATTGGAGGTTTGAAGAGTGAGGAGAATGTTGTGTGATAGATTGGACATGTAATATAGGCCAAGCATAGTGTTTATTTCAGATTATGTTGTTAGAATGCTACTGAGGCAGAGGCAGGCAATTTTAGGCTTTTCGACAGCATGACTATGTAGGTGAGATATTTGGACAAAGAGAAATTGCTTAGACTTAAGAAAGAACTGTTCAGCAAGGGCCGGAGTTCTATCCCTGGTACCAAAAAAAAAAAAAAAAAAAAAAAAAAAAAAGAGAGAAAGCTATTCAACTGATTTTATTAAAAATCTGCTATGCCAGAAATTGCCAGATATAGATATGATGGAGGAAGAGGGAGTTTGTTTCTACGTGTCACATGATTGGCCTTCCTTCCAGTCAGAAGCTCCTGTTTCCTGATTTTCTGAAGCTCTTGAGGAAAGAAAGGGGAGAAATGCACAGTATACTACTTAATGTAAAAATAAAACAAGCCTGCTACAGTGGCACACACCTATAATCCCAGCATTGCAGGAGGCTGAGGCAGAAGGATTGCAAGTTTGATCTCTGAATGGGCAGTCTAGCAATTTAGTGAGACCCTGTTTGAAAATAAAAAATAATAAAAGGGCTGGGGATGTAGCACTGTGTGGAGGCCCTGGATTCCATTCCAGCACCACAAAACAAAATAGAGTGTTGGAGAAATTCTTCCCTTTGTCTACTACTTTGATAAAAAACTGAATCTTTGAAGCCCAGTTTTGTCAGGTTCAGTATAAAATTATTTATTCTTATATCTATTGTCTTTTGATAGTAAGTGCCTATTCTTCTTTCCCTTTTCCCCTCTCAATTTGTTTATTCAAGTTAGGAATCTTTTTAAACAAACTCTCCTGGGCCTCTAGGTGCCAGTTTTCTTTGCCAGGATATCCCTCATGATCTTCTGTCTGATGCTGCTATCTCCCCAGTGTCACCTTTGGGAATTGTTGAGATCTCAGGTAAGGCTGATTCAAAAGCAAAAGGTGACTAGTACCGAAAAGATTACATTATTGAATTCCGGTTCTTCCCGGTATCGTGTCCTGCCTTTGTATCCTGTGCAAGCCTACAGCAGCCTCCAGGGTGGTGGTGATAGCCTATTTTTATTGAAGAGGAAACTGAGGCTCAGGATGGTTCAGTAACTTGTTCAGTGTGACAAGCTGGTTAGATGTTGTCTTAGTTTTCTCATCACTGAGACATAATACCTGACATCCACAAGTTAAGGGAGGGAAGGTTTATTTAGCACAGTTTGTAGAGGTTTCAGTCCATAGTTGGCTACCACCAAGGCAGGTGGCATGGCAGATAAGCATTGCAGAGGAAAAGCAGTTCATGGTAGACAAAAAGCAGTAAACACAGCAAAGTAGGGAAGAGAAGCGTGGGCAAGCCTCCAAAGCAGCCCTCTTTCTGTCCCTTTATAGCCATCCAGGCTATGCGCCCTTAGGGTAGGTAGCAGTCACACCTAGAACTGTGCCAAACCAATCAGTGGACGGATTTAGTAACCACACACCCTTAATCCCAGCATCGCATACTCTCGATCCAGTCACCTCTGAAAAGTCCCGCCAATGATCACATGACGCGCTGGGGGGACAGCTATCTAGACAGAAGCCGTAACAGATATGGAGTGGGCATTTCAGTGTAGGACTTTGATTCCAAAATGTGTTTTTTCCATCTTAGTCATTATTTTTCCTGGGATGTGGAGTTTGTGAGAGACAGTCTAGCACAGAACTTACTTGAGGACATATGTACCTTACACATATCAAAGGTCGGGTTCAGAGATGCTCATAGAATCACAGCAGTTAATGAGCTCCTGTACCATGGTGGAGATAAGTTAAAAGCCAGTGCACAAGTACAAGGTTCTGAGTTCAATCCCCTGTACAAAAAAAAAAAAAAAAGGCAGAGATAATATTCACATTTCAGCAGTGCCTTAACATTTTTTTTTTTTGAAACATCCTATAGTTATGGGGTCTTACATTTGTGGTTGGCAGTGGCTCCTTTATTGGTTTGTAAAATAACTGTGTGCCTTATAGTCAGTGGTCTTAGATTAGGTGGACCATGGAGTACATTACTGGTGGTTTGGAGGATTAAATAAGGTCGCTCATGTCCCTGGAGCATAGTGAACACCCAGTAGCAGGTCATGCTGTTGAACGGCAGAATGATCATTTAACCGGTTGGCGGCTCTGAGGTAGAGCTGTGGAACATCTGGTTAGCTTTGCCACTCAGAGCCCAGGCAGTACTCCATGATCTGTGGGCAGGAGGAGCAGTTTCCAGTTTGCCTGGAGCCTTGTTCTTTGGCTGGCTGTGGTCCCCGTGAGAAGCATTAACGTCAGGAGCTAAAGAGCCACGGACAGACAGCTCCCTTTGTCCTGAGTATTCACTAAGGTCTTTGTCAACTTAAAATCTCAAGTTAAAAATAAATACTGATATAAAAAGACCAGAAACCTATGCTAATTGAGTATTCTTACAGGTAAGTTTTAAAGTGACTCCAGTTTATATAAAAGATAGTATTGCTCCTTTCAGACTCCTCATAGTGTTTAATTGCTTTGCATGTAATGTCTGTGAGACGACTTAATGAGCCGATGGTAGGAGGTCTGAAAGTACAGAAGCCCTTGACTGGCACTGGGTAAGGTTAAACAGAGCCCTGGACTTGGTGTCAGGGGTTCCGTCCATAGTTGTGATGGTTTCACCTGTTGTCCCAAGGTTCCTGGGCACATTGCTTTGCCTCTGTGGTCTGTAAAGGGTCTCTTCTAAATCGATGACTTCATGAGTTCACTGAGTTTCTGAATTTAAGGATCTGAGGTATGAAATGATCAAAGGGGAATTATTTAACTCAAGACTTTCAGAATCTCATTTGGATGTTTGTGATCCAGCTTTGTAAAGCAGAAAACAATAAGCAGATGATGACAGTGTGCATAGCTATCATTTATGAGAATTGCTACGTGCCAGGTACTGTCTCTACTTCTATCCCCGCCCCCAGTTGCAGTGCTGGAGATGAGATCAAACCGAGGGCCTTATGCATGTTAGGAAACTGAAGATCAGAAGAGTTAAATGGTTTGACCAAGATCACACAGGAAGGTCAAGGACTTACAGCTGGGATTAGAACTCAGGCTTCTATTGCTTCCGGGTAGGAGTTTTACAGTGCTTTAGATGCATTCTGGCTTGTCTTGCACAAGCCATTCACCCTGGAAGCTTTCTAGGTTAAAAAGTAAAGGTTTCCTTGTTTTAAGGTCACAAATTTCTAGTCTGTTATGTACTAGCACTTGTACAAATTCTGAGTGAGTTAAGGAAACTTTGTTAAAGCTAAAGAATAACTCTTACTAGAGTTAAAGGAGATTTAAGTCCTGAAAGGAAAGGTTTTTCTTTGGTTTTTTAAAAAAAAGCCATTTCCCATTGCCAGGTTCACTGAACAGGATTACTGAGAGAATTTGATCTTTCTTCATGGATGCTCCTAGGATGGGAAACCTGGGTGGGCCTTGAAATAGCCAGGTAGCCTTCGTCTGTTGCGTTTGCCTGGAATATTGGCTTTATAAGCTTTCCTCTAAGAAGATTATTGGAACCAAGGCATCGAGCGCCTCTCCAGATTATCCTGACAGTTGACAATGGCACAGGGCAAGAGAAGCCTTCTTCAGTCATAAGCTTATTTAGGATTTGAGATCAAAACCCGCTCTTTGGATTGCTCCTTCACATAACCTTTCAGAGTCACAATATGCATTTTGTAAGAGTTTCATTTCTGTTTTGTTATTTAGAGCTGACATAACCTGGCTTGTTCTTTTGTCCAGTTTTCAGTCCTTTCTTCTACATAATGCTGTCTTTTAAGCAGTTTTTTTTTTTTTTTTGGTATTGTTTTGCTTTGTTTTTTTGAGACAGAGTCTTGCTATGTGGTTGAGGCTGGCCTCAAACTCACTGTGTAGCCCATGCTGGCCTTGACCTCACAGCAGTTCTGCTTCAGCCTCCTGAGCGATGGGATTGCAGGAGTGTGCTACCATCTCCATTAAGCAGTATTCTTTTTTTTTTTTTTTTTGGTACTGTGGATTGAACACGGGTCCTTGCTTTTTCAAGGCAGGCGGCAGAACTACTGAGCTAAATCTCTGGCCCTAGCAGTATTCTTAAAAGATGTTGTATTGACCATTCTGAAGTAGAGAATTTGATTTTTTTAAAAAATTTTGTTGAAAGGACCTACTGAACAGTGGTTGCCTGTCACTCACCAAGCATTTGAGCATCTACTGAGACCACTGTGTTTGGCACTAAAAATCTGATGTGGAGCAAAACAGATGTGATCCCTGTTGGCACATGGCACCTTATCTAGTCTAGACAATAGATAAGACAGTCGAAGTGCCACATTTACTGTACACATGAAATCATAACGCGTGTGACATCTCCTTCCTCCAAAGGGAAGAACAGGGCAATGAGCAAGGATAAAGGCGGGGGAGCACTCAGCTGGGAGCGTTGGGAAGAGCACTGCAAAAGAGGGAGCAGCAGGTGGGTAGGGTGGCTACAGCCAGGAAGGGCAGAAGGGAAGATGAGAAGACTGGGGTGGTGGTGGAGGTGGGGGTAGGGCTCAACTGGCCTTGGGAAGTTTAACCTCTTGTGCCTTAGTTTCCCTTCTCGGCGTGAAGATTGAGTCCTCAGAGCAGTGCCCTGTATGTGCAGAGGGGCTGGGGGTTAGAGTTTGCTGACTCTCAGGGGCTTGGGGAACTGGACCTGAGTGGATGAGCACCTGTTTATAGTCAGCGTGTTCATCATTCAGGGGGTAGAGTACCATAGAGCTGCTGCAGGTAAAAGGACAGTGGCTGATGGACACGTCCCCTTGAGGCAAGCTGAGACTGTGGTGTGGACTGCTGTGGGCCTGTTCCTAGAGAGAGATGGCCGCAGCTGTCCGAGCCTCTACGCCAGTGTGTCACTCACTGTGGAGCCAAGTGGATTGCACGCCATCGGTCCTGTGCTACTACTTTAATATTTGGATGTGGTGGGTAGATTTTTATCATTGTTTTCTTTTTGCTGTTAAGAACTTTGAGGCCAGATCCAAGTTATATATAGTACCGGTGTGAGACCCATCTCTGACAAGATTTGATGCAGTTTTTGAGGTTTTCAAGTCAGAGGCTGTGATTCTTTGGCCTGGGTTGGGATGTTCAGTAGAATACCATGAGTGTTTATAATTACCCTGCAGAATACTAGACCTGGTCAAATTTGTATATAATTGCTTAGTTAAAAACATTTTTTTTCCAGTACTAAGGGTTAAATCCAGGGCCTTGTACAAGTCAGCCCTCTTTTGTTGAGACAGAGTTGCCTAAAGTTGTTAGGGCTGGCCTCAGTTTTGCAATCCTCCTGCCTTGGGTTCTTGAGTAGCTGGGATTGCTGGATAAGGTTAAACAGAGTCCTGGACTTGGTGTCAGGGGTTCCGTCCATAGTTGTGATGGTTTCACCTGTTGTCCCAAGGTTCCTGGGCACATTGCTTTGCCTCTGTGGTCTGTAAAGGGTCTCTTCTAAATCGAGGACTTCATGAGTTCACTGAGTTTCTGAATTTAAGGATCTGAGGTATGAAATGATCAAAGGGGAATTATTTAACTCAAGACTTTCAGAATCTCATTTGGATGTTTGTGATCCAGCTTCATAAAGCAGAAAACAATAAGCAGGTGATAACCACTACACTCGGGTTAAAAAATCTTTTATTCTAGAGGTGTTTTATAATACCTGAAAGTAAAAATAATATAAAGCATCCCATGTATCTATTGATCAGTTTCAATAATTATGAACATTTTTCTAATCTTGTTCCAGGATGGTTTCATATTGAAGCATTTTTGTGGATTCTCTGTCACAATATAAATGTATTTTTGGACTGAAAAATTATAGGGTGGAAATGATTGGAGGGGAGAGAAGCCCTGTATGCTGCATAGAGCTGGTGTTATGTAGTGAAATTCAGAATTTGAAATGAGCATTTCTTGGAAACTCCTTCTAGATATGCTTTTGAGTAGTAGGCCTAAAAAAATCCAAGATAGTATTGACTAAATATCAAATGTATTGGACATTGTATAAAGTACATTATAAGATAATGTGTATCTATAGTTGTTCCTAAATTATGGTTCAAATTTTTGCTCTCATTGAAGTAACAGGTTATTTTTACTCTGCATTTTGGATGGGCAGTGTTTGATACTAGAGTACCCCCCCATAAGAATCAAACTCAGGACCTTGTGCTTGCTAGGCAGGCACAGCACCACTGAGCTACATCCCTGGCCCATCACAGCTTATTTTCAAACAAATTTTTCATAAATCCCAAGTTGTGGAACTAATTAAAAGCAGTATTTTAGGGGGGTATAAAAGTTTTCTTTATAACTTCCACTTTTAAAACCAAAGAGGGTATGATAAACTTTTTTTTTTGTTTGTTTGTTTTTTAAGGGGAATTTCAAATCAAACATGCAAAGAACCCTGTAGCAGCCTGCCTGTGGGCCACTGTCCAATAGACTTTTCTGTAATATGCTCGATATGTGCTGTCCAGTATAGTAGCCCTTGCCACATGTGACTATTAAACATTTGAAAGGTAATAGTGCCACTAATAAATCTAAGCTTTGATTTTTATCTAATTTTAATTTTAGTTCATTTTGCTTTAGTGGTACCTCAGTTCACACTTTTGTTTGGGAGCAGTTTGGTTTGCAAACAAAAGTATTTGGCAAAAACATTTTTTTGGGGGGGTTACTGGGAATCAAAACTCAGATCCTTGAGCTTGTGAGGCAGGCGGCAGAACCACTGAGCTAAATCCCTGGCCTTATTCTTATTTTTATTTGCATCAGGCAACAAACACAATCATGCCCATCTTTCCCATAGAAACACAATGTGGCCATCTTTTCCAAACTCTTGAAACAAATTAAGTTCACGAACTGAGATACCACTGTAGCTCCCTCCATGTGGTTACATTAGATGGTGCAGTTCCGGGGTTTAAAACCACCAGTCTCCATCATAGAATAGAACCCAGCACAAACTAAGCTGGGGAACTAATGAAAGAGTACCAGTCACAAGTAGTTCCTGAGCTCCGGATTTTGTGACAGAAGGAAGAATTGCCTAGAGGGGTTTGTGGTCTTTAGATGGGAGGGGGTTTAAAGACCTGTAGAGGTTAGATTTGGTACTGGGATGTGTCCTGGGCTTGGGATCTTATGAAGTGAGGAGTGAATCTCTGAGTCTTAAAGTATTTCTTCATTGCAGAAAATCTCTGAGAGGTAGAGAAGGCTCTAGGAAGTAAGATGACTCCAGACTTGGAAGTTGTACTGCCAAGAAAATTTCGAGGCTTCTTTGGGGCAACACCAGGTGACCTCTTTGTCCCCAGTGTCTGTCTAGTAGATGTTTGATAAATATGTGTTTAGAATGGATGACTGTTTAAGCAAATAGGAGAAGGGCTATAAAATTATCTAGAAATTCTGAGAAACGGGCACTGAAGGAAGTGTACTGGTGAGCTGCAGAGTTTGCATGGCCATGCTTTCTGCCGGAGGTCATTAATGTTTCTCCTCACTGCAAACCAGGCTGGACCTCCCACCCTGCAGTCAGTAGCCACTTATGTGCCAAGTGCTGTTGATCTTTACCTTGTATGTCTCTTGTGTGATTCTCTTTCTCTGGCTTCCCTACACCGCACTCATTCAGGTAATCATCTTTTTGCTTGGGAGACTGTAGCAGCCTGTTCGCTGACCTGCCCATGTCTCCTTCTGCTCCTTTCTGATCTACTCACTGCATGCAGACAATGTTTTCTTTAAAAAATTCCAGGCATGGAGAATGTTAGATTTCTTTGACAAATAGGTAAGAAAGAGTCCATATGATTTTAAACTCCACCTGTTGTATTTGCATTAACACCTCTGGACAAATAGAGGTTGATATTAAAGAAAAGGCTTACGCCAAGTGCTGCCTAATTGTGTCTGACTTACACAACTTTTTCAGCTACTATTGTTCAATATTCTGCTTTCAATTCTTAGCCCCTGCTAAAGGCTATAAAATGAAGCTTAAAAAGTGTCAATGACTTGCTAATGTCCTCTTTTCCAAACTATCAAAAGATGATCAAACAACTCATCTTCCTTTGTCTCCTTTAGATAGAGTGGCTAAGCAGCATCAACACCTCTCCTTAGGCTGAAGCCATTATAGGAAGATGGACTTTAAAAGAATTAAGAGATCAAAGTCTCAGAGGAGGGGAATGAGGTATAATTGAATGAATAAAGATAGTGAAAGGAAGACAAGGAAAAATCATAACCAAAAAGTTTTACTTTTAAGATTACAGCTCTAGGACACAGTTAATGTTACCCAGGACTCCCTAGATTTTTTTGTGCTTCTTTTCTTCTAGGCCAGTGGTGGCAAACTTATGGCATTTGTTCTGCAGCCAGCTGTTTCTGTCATTGAAAGCTCCAATCACCATCAATCACTGTTATAGGCCCATTATACCCCAGATCCCTGAAAGACACTTTACACTAGCCAGGTGTGGTGGTGCACGCCTGTAATCCTAGCACTTGGGAGGCTGAGGCAAGAGGATCACTGTGAGTTTGAGACCAGCCTGGGCTACATAGTGAGTTCCAGGTCAGTCTCAACTATATAGTGAGACCCTGTCTCAAAAAACAAACAACAACCGGGGATTTAGTTCAGCGGTTCGGTTCGGTGGCCTGCCTTGCAAGTGCTAGGACCTGAGTTTGATCCCTGGTACCAAAACAAAGCAAAACAAAACAAAAAAAGCCAAAACAAAAGATACTTTAAACCTGTAAATGAGTTTAATTGATAAAGGACAAATCTTTTAAGATAAAGAAACAGATTGAGAGTTTCAAGAGTGTTTTTAGGCAAAACATTGTAGATAACCCATCTAAAAAATTTGCCAGGAGTATGGCAAATGCCTGTGATCTCAGCACATAAGAGGTTGAGGCAGCATGATTGTCTCAGTTCAAGGCCAGCCTGAACTGTAGCCTGGGCTACATAGTGAGTTCAAGGCCAGCCTGAACTGCATAGTGAAACCCTATCTCAAAAAAACAAAAACTTTGGTAGGGCTTACACTTTTCATTTGTAAATGAGCCATTATCTTTCTGTATGTAGGCCATCCTTTTCCTGTAAACTAAGACCAAGATGGTAATTCCCATAGATTCACAAATTTTCACCACCAAAAACAAATATTTCTAGCTCCAGACTGTAACCTGCCCTTTTTTTGAGGGCTTATATTCTAATTGCTTTTAAATTCTTGCCTAGTAAACCCTATGCCTCATAAATGAATAAGTAAATATTCCAGGCATGGTGACATACACCCGAAGTCCAACCTGCCAGGGAGGTTGAGGCAGGAAGGTTGCAAATTTGGACAATTTAGGAGACCTTGTCTCAAAATAAAATTTAAGGGGGGACACTAAAGTTGTAGCTCAGCACAAAGCCCTGGGTTTAATTCCCACTACTATAAAAACATACAAAACTAACAACAAAAAACCCAGCCTCCTGATACTACAATATTGTCTTGCCCTTGTGTGAACCCTGTGGAGGCTTCTTGTTACTGCTAGGATGAAGTCCACAGCTAACCATGTTTCTGAGCATGTGATCACTCTCTCCTACCTCCTTCAACCTCAGCCTCACTCTTTCTCCTCCTGGTTTACATTCCAGGTAGCACAATGGCTACCTTTCCATCCCTAGCCAGAAAGGAGCTAGGCTTTTCAGGAACTGAGGCCTCTGTTGAAAATGGCTCCGCCCCCACCTCCCCACCTTTGCTCTTCTTACCCTTTGTGGCCCTCTTCACAGTTTGTTACTCCATATTCCATAACAGACATCTGCTCTTCCCCTTTCTCTGAGAGGACGGGGACCTTGGTGATTTTGCTTACAATTATGTACCCAGGACGCAGCCACAGTGTCTGCCATTGCCCGTGCTTCTGAAATACTTGTTGAGCAAATGAAAAAGGCCACGCAAGCACAATAGAAAACAAAAGAACCTTAATTTGAGTGCTCTTTTAAAACTTGGGTTTGTTGGAGAAGTTGAATAATTTTTAGCAGTAGAATAACCTAAAAAGGGAAAGGGGAGAGGAGAATCCACAGTCCTGTCATTGGAGCTATGCAGTGGGTTTAAAGGCAGCACTTTATGAAAACGGGTGGTGAGGAAACATTTTCTACACCCTTATCCTGGACTTGAAAAGTGTTTTTTTTGTTTTGTTTTGTTTTGTTTTGGCTTGGTTTTTTGAGACAGGGTCTCACTATGTAGTTGAGACTGACCTGGAACTCACTATGTAGCCCAGGCTGGTCTTGAACTCACAGCGATCCTCCTGCCTCAGCCTCCTGAGCGCTGGGATTACAGGCGTGCGCCACCATGCCCGGCTCAAAAAGTGTTTGCCTGCTACCTAGCAAGGCTGGGATCAGAAGGGGTCACTCTTGTCTGGACGGGCTTCCTGCACTCAGGAGACATCCCATTCTCACCAGTCATCAGAAACATGGGCTCCAGTTTGAGACCTCAAGGTTGGAGTCTTCTGTGTGCAGCCCACCATCTTAATTTCTTCCTAGCAATGGGGATTCTGTGCTTCTTATATTTGTGCCTCTGTCCTACCTCTTTCCCACCTGTCTCACTCCCATCAGCAAAGCAGTGACTCATCTATGTAGGGTGTTTGGCAAGTGTTTACTTTTAACCCATGGTACCATTAAAAAATTATACCAGCTGGACACAGAAGAAGGCTCCAGGCAGTAAAAGGAATAGGAGGGAATTCTAGTTGCCCCATAGGAGCAGAAGCTTCCTGCTGTTGGAGATTAAATCCTGTGCTTAGACTGGCTCTGCGAGGCCCACTTCTAGATGAGATGGGGAGCCTGCCAGTGCTCATACATCAACTGCCATGTGGTGGGGAAATAGGAAGAACCTGGTCTTCCCCAGAACATTGAAGTCATGAAAAGGAAATTAAAGGACTCAAGGCCAAGGTGGCAGGTAAATTTCTTCTACAACTTTAGTGATTGTAATTCTAAAAGACAACTGATGCAAGAGCAGGGTAATGTTTTTTTCTATCATACTTAGAAGTCTGATTAAAAGACTTCAAGCTATATATTAAGGGAAGAGAAGGCAACCATATACAGGAAAACTGTAGACTTAGATAACAAGCAGACCTGCATAACTTAGCAGATGTCTTGGCACCCAAGTGGTGACCAGAAAGAAACACTCAAGTGGAAACTGGCACTGAAGCTCATTGACAAACACCCTTGAGGGAAGGGCATGGGTAACTGTGAACTCATGCCTGAGGGTGAGCAGCTTAGGTTGTTAGGAGCTGGAAACCCTGTAGATACCCAGGGGGATATGGTGAGGGGCTGGTAAGTATGGGCACCCAAGACCCCACAAGGAACCCTCTGAGGTATTCACTAAGTGTGCCATCTCATGGAAACTATTACAGATATGATGGAAAGGATGGGGGTGATATCCTTGTAAGGATGCTTGACAGACTGTAGTGACAATTTTTTTTTTCTACAGACAGATTTTGAAACAGGCCCTCTTGCAGGTGTAGTAGACCATGCAGATGTTTGTTTGTATAGGTGAATTATATTACAAATGAACCATGTGGTAACTTCTAACCCCACCTTGCTGGTAATTCTACATCTGATTGTTGGTATAGAAAAGGGCGTGTGTGTGTGTGTGTGTGTGTGTGTGTGTGTGTGTGTGTGCACGCGCGCGCGCGCACGCGCGCATGCGCACACACACATGCTTTAATGATGCCAAATAGGAAAAAGCTTGTTGACAGTGTGGATGAGGTAAAAGCCATCTGGAGAGCCAGGGGAACTGACTGTAGCTGACAGGCTTGAATGAGCATTCATGTAGGCTGGCTCCTCCACTAAGGTCATCATGCTGATGAGCATTTCCCACCCTCTATTACTGTTTGTTGTGGTCAATATGATGAGAATGTTCCTCACATAAACTGGAGCAGGAGCCATCTTGTCCTCAATGCCCAGATGCTTGTTAATGTTAGGCGCAGTAGCACAGGTCTATAATCCCAGGTACTTGAGAGGCTGCCCTTAGAGAAAGTCACCTAAGTGAAAACAAAAAAAATGTGGGGAGATAAAAATATGTGGGGAAGGCCGGGGATTTAGCTCGGTGGTTCCAACGTCTGCTTTGCAAGTGCAAGGGCCCGAGTTTGATTCCCAGTACAAAAAAGAAAGAAAGAAAGAAAAGAAAATGGGGGTGTAGCTCAGTTGTACAGTGCTTGTATCCATGCCCTGGGTTCCACCCCCAGTACCACCACCAAAAAAAAAAGAAAAAAAAGAGTATTGAATATTAGTCTGTAACAATGACCAGCTGGGGGCTATCTAGGGATGGAACCCAGGGCCTCCACGATGCAAAGTGT